ATATTTTTGTTGTTTGGAACGAAGTCTCGGTGTTGGAGAAACATTTCTCTAAAATGAGAATCGATCACATTTAAAACTTCACATTTTAACAGAGAATATCTGTAAAGGTTTGGAGCAGGCACAGTTTTCCATAAAAGGGTCTTTTTGAATGATTATGGTTTGGAAAACTGATTAGCACAAATAATTCATATGATTTGCACTACAAGTTTTTATGTAAAATATTTATGCGGCAAAATGCATTCATAACTTTACTGAGAAAATCATCCTTCTTCTAGATGCATAGAGATGAATGCGTTTTCCATTCCTTAAAGGGCTGTTGCTCCTAATGAAAAATATTCCAACACGTTTTCTTTTGTTGCTTTTTTGTTTTCTCCAATTAATCTTAACACTTTATTTAGAAATAAAAGTTTTATTCCATTTAATTTTAATAAAACTGATGTTAGCAAGTAGGTTTCAAGATTTTAAATGTAACACATATATGAAAATAGTTTGACATCCAGTTGGGCGGAAACTGTTGCAATGACCTGCTATTGGTGGCAGCCCAGGGCGGGGCTATTAGTGTGCACACCTGAAGTGCTTTGCCTCACATTGCTGAAGGCATAAATGACACCCCTGTGTAAGAGACTTGTGCTGAAAACTAGCTGCAGAGAATTGAGGGCCCATGTCAAAAAAGATGAAGATGCAGTCGGTAAGAAATTTGAATTTTATAGGATCTTACTGCTACTGCTCTTTAATTATGTGTAATTTTAGGGGAGTCCTCCTCATTTGATTTATGCTCCTTAATTTGAAAATGGCTGCAGTGGTGTAAATAATTATGGAAATGTACATCCATGTTGTGCTTTATCAGGTTGTGTTGTATGGTACTTAAGATTAAATGTCTGAGCAAGGAGCAATATTGTGGTACATTTTGTAAAACTGTCATGTGTAAAAGATTATATTGATTCAAGTATTTTGATTTCATTTATAGTTTGTGTGTCCTGAATATTATATGTTCACTAACAAACATAACTGTCTTTCTGTCCTAAGGTTTTTACCTGACTGTTGTTAAGACTGACCACAAAACGGAGAAATAAAAAGAATGGAAAAAGTCTCAACTGCTTTGTCTGAGTAAATCCAGCTATACTCTTAAAGTCATGGGTCCAGCCCTTTTAAGTGTGGGGTGCAGTTACTGAAACGCTTCACAGAAACAATTAGGCTGCACAATGAAAGAATCATCAACTAATTTAGAGTGTGGAAACTCTAAAATATGCATTTAGCCGACAGAGGAACCCACTGAGAGCAGTAATTATACCATAACTGTAAAAAAGAAATATGTAAAAACTCTTCAACTGTCAATTTGGTCTGTGCAGAACTCCTCAAGTGGAAAAGTTTTAGTTTCACCTGTTTTAATTTCATAAAAAGTATTCACTAAGGAAACTTTTGCTATCCCATTATTCATCGGTTAATTGAAAAATAATCAACAGATTAATTGATTTAAATATAATCTTTAGTTGCAGCCCTAACATCCAGTGTGACCAAAATAATCAAAAAACGTACTTTTATGAATTATTATGAATACTTAAATATTACAAAAACTCAATTGCAAATTAAAAAAAGGTAATTAGTTGTATCAGGAGTGCAACTCTGAATAAATTATCTATTCTATAATCATTTTGAGTTATTTTTATGTAATATTAAGAGCTTTTCTGCTTATCAGATTTATTTTGATGATAAAACTGCAGAAATAAATAAGTCTGCACATTAAAACATGCACATTTACTTGTTTTAAATTTTTTAGCATTCACTGAGCTCAGGAAAAATGTGTCACATATAATTAATTAACAAATATAAAAAAAACTACAAAAGATATGTGTAAAAAAAAAATATGTGCAGTGGGCTGCACAATGACTGCACAATGGCAGGGATGAGATGGGTTAAATGCAGAGTTAATTTTGTTGCTCTGTACTTGTGACAGTGTAATGACAATGAAACAGTGGTGAAAAATAAATAAATAAAAAAGGGAATTAATCCTGCATCCAGACAGTTGCTGGTTTAAACAACGGTTCCATCGGTCTAAGGTTAAGCCCGCATTGTCCATTGATGGTGCACAGAGCGCGAGCCCGATGGCAGCTGTGGCTATTATGTAGCATAGCACCATCAGCGCGTGAATGTTTTGAAGCATTTTGAACTCCTCTGAATTGAAAAGGCGCTTTATAAGTGCAGGCCATTTATCATTTCCCAGCCGAACCGATGAATCACTGCCTCACCTGAGGCCTGAACAGAAATGTAAACCTGACCCCAACAGAGTCTAAATCAGAATGGAAAAGGCCCAATTTTGCCCAAACTACAGAGATATATCATTTTTTGTATGACGGAATAATTCAGGCAATAACATCAAACAGCCTCTCAGGAACCTGTTTCTGAGAGGAAATGCTGGTAAGTGATCAATATTTATGGTGAAGAAGTGAGACCTCATTATGCTGAAGGTCATGACAGGATGTGGATTTAAAGCAGGGGAAGATGAACTTAACTCTTGAACATTTGTGGCAGAGCAGAAACATTTGTCTTTCTGTATGACACCCTCGGAAGGCAACATGTCATTCCCACTTAGATCCTTTTAAAAAAGTTTGAAATTCAAGGGGAAAATTCGTTAAATCGCTCCTGCGACTTTCAGCATCTACAAAGTGAAATCAGTCATTAAAATGCAAAAATAAAAAAGGTGCTAGGAAATACTGATTTATGCGACCACAGGGACTTTGAACAGAGCAGATAGAGACTGTATCTGGGCAAGTAGTGAGGTGCATTAATGATGAGCTGATCACCTGCTTTTTACAGTTTTCATGAGAGCAGAAATCTCTTAAAGCCAATGGGTAATGAGTGAGCCAGGCAGGCTGGATTTGTGCTTGCTTCCCTTTGCTTCTCTTCTCATTCTTGTAGTCATGAAAGACATATCTAATCAAAGGACAATGAAGGATCAAAACGCATACAAAAATAGTGAAACAGAAGGTGGATTTAACAGAATATCATTAATATTTATCAGAAAACCAGCTCTGTGCATCTTGCAAGCTTCTCGTTCTCTGATAGTTTTTCCAGTTTTTGATGAAGATCAGGATAACCTAAGCTGACATGTCATGGAGGCAACCAATAAAACTATAAAATCCAATCCAGGTTGGTCCACAATGACTGGGTATATTGTGCTCAGATTGAAAGAAGCATGAGGCAATAAAAATATTGAGTATTCATGAGTTTAGTCAGGCTGAGATCAGCTGATGACAGACTTCCATAAACTGTGAAAGTAACTCAGTAGGTCTGGCAGATGAAGACAGATATTACATTGCTGATAAGAAAGTGTCTATAAGTGCACCAGGTTTAGGCAAACCAATGGAACTGAAACATAATAAAAAGTAATATGATGTTACATATTAGGCAGTGCACAGGGATCGATGTTAACCATCGTCGGATCTCCCGGGGCAAGTAGTTTTTATTGTTGGGAGAATATACATTTAATTTCACTTGCCCGCCGGGCAAGTGCAATGATCGCCCAAAAAATTATTTATCACTCAAAATTACTTTAAGATCACCGACATTCGATGAAAACGACCCAGAAGGGTGATTTTCCGACAGATGGCGTGATTTTTGTCCACCTAGTGGTAATTATGATGTAGATACCAAAACGACAAACGGCTGCATTTATTTTGTCAGGGAAAACTGCTCCTGAGTCAGTTAAAAGTCAGAGAATTCTGAAATTATATAAGACTGTGGAAACCCTGAATAAAATAACTATGTATAATGATTCTCAAGGAAAGTCACATATTAATAGTATTATCTTGTATAAACATACCGTGACTCTAAAATAAAAGTTATTCGTTTGTGACATCGACTTCTGTCTTGTGATTTATCTTAAGTTTTAAACCTGTCAAGTTTTTTTTAGATTTTTAACATTACAATTTATATTTTTCCAAGCACACAACAGTTTAAAGCAAAGTTTAGTTTGAAAAGAGGAGATGAAACGCATGTTAGCACGGTAATGTAGGCTTGAGTTCATTATCTGACGCATGCATATACACACCAGGAACCTGTAAACTTAAAAAATACTGAATTACAAAAAACATTTAAAAAACAAACATGTTTCATTCATATATGTATAAAAATGAATATTAGGTACAATATTTATCAAACATTATACTAGGCAAGTAAAAATTGTCTCTAGGCAAATGAAATGTGAAAGTCACTTGCCTGAAGATAAAAATCATTAACGTCAACCCCTGAGTGGACTAGATGATATTATGCCTTCTTTGTCATCCCTGGCCCCAAATATGACCCCCCCCCCCCCCCACCAAAAATAAATAAATAATAAACAAATAAATAAATATATATATCTTTTTTGTGACTGTATACCAAGGCTGTTCGTGTGTCTCTATTAGCTGATGCAACCATGTCATGCTAAAAAGGAAAACCCAACACTGACAGCTGCTGCGTTTCTGATGCAACCAATGTGCTTTATCTCCAGCTTCCATCAGTATGGTCCTTTGAATGATATATCGCAGTGCATTTACATCAGGCCACCAACTGTATCAACCAAACCTCATTTTTCTTGAACATCTTCCACCTTTTTTTTTTTTTCTGACGTTTCCTCTACAGGGATGATCACCCTGCATCATTGCAGATGGTGTCGGGCTACATTTTTCATCACAGCTGAATATTCCTCATCAGCTGAATACTGAGCAGCAGCTTGGAGGAATAGCTACTCTGTGCCCAGCATGTATGACAGCGTGCCTAGGCAATGATTGGCAAATACAGAAATAACACTAAATAAATAAAACATCCCCTGCATGGTCAAAGTGGGAAAAAAATTTGTTTATACAATTCTGAGGCATATTTGAGTCTTACCAGTAAAAGTCAATGAAAACAATAGATAGGATAATAGAATGCACAGTTCATCTACAGGAGGAGGAAATTATTGAAACATATTCTTGGAGGCAACAAGTGAGACGATTTGACTATGAGAAACAGAAATTTACCATCTCAGCGCAATTTTGATAGGCGTGGTGAGACAGGAGGTGAAGAGGTCAGCGGGGAGGTCCGGGTTCATGGGAAGCAGCTCGTTGGCCTCACATGCAGCCAGCTGGATGCAGTTCTTCATTGAGGGCGGAAGCGGCATCTGTGCAAGCGGGTGGCTGGGATTTATGGCTGCAACCTGAAGAGACATACAACAACACACAAAGCTAGAATGAAACTTCATTTGACGACCAGAAGAAAGAATGTAAATATGCACTCAGAGCAGGTTTCACATTACTAAATATGGCAGCTAAGCCAACCCACAAGGGAGTCTGGCTTTCAGCTCTGAAACAGCATTTTATTGCAGTTACTTCACTGCATGACCTGTTCTCTCAGGAAATAAACTAATGTGAGGGCAAGGAGCTGTTGTACTGACACTGGGATTTAAAACAAACAAATCCAGCTCTCATCTGTCTGAGTAAAAAGCAGCAAACGGCGTCTTTAATATTTCATTTTGATCCTCTAGTGTCGGAAAGCCTGACTTAACTTGTTAGTGTAAAACCAGTCACCTACAAAGGAAAAACACATTTAAGGCCTAAAACAAAACAATATGATGTGGTAACACAGCTGGAGATATAATTCACACGTTCACAGAGGACTCAGCCGCTTCTTCACCTTTATTTTGGTATTTTCTTTAAAATGACAAGGAAATTATGGTTGAAATTTATTCGTTTTCCAAGGATCTTCAAAGTGTACACAGAATAAATATAGTTGGACAGATTAATGGTTTGATGCTTCAGCAGGTGGTTGGAGCGACGGACTGGCAGATGGACGGATGGATCAGGTTGGATCGATGTTCAGAAGGAGAGAAAAACGCAAAAAAAGATAGATGGACATAGAAAACAATGGACTGACTGCAGATATAGCAGATTGGGAGAAACACTTAAATGCCTCAAAGTGATATATTGTATTTAGGGCTAAAGCAATTAATCGGATTAATCGATTATTGAAATAATCGTCAACTAATGTAGTAAGTTAACTTGAGTATAGAGACTCTAAAATATGCTTTTAGCTGACAGAGCAACCCACTTAGAGATGTAATTATATCAAGATTGTAAAAATAAAAAAAAGATTGTTAAAATTTTGCATTTAAGATAAAAAAAAAAAAAAAACGTTTCTTCCGTCCCTATGCTCTATCCAGAACTCCTCAAGTGGAAAAGTTTTAGTTTTACCTGGTTTGATTTCATTAAAAAAAAAAAAAAATTTCTTTAAGAAACCTTTGGCTATATGATTATTAATAGATTAATTGAAAAAATGATCCATAGATTAATTGATTTGCAAAATAATCTTTAGTTACAGCCCTAATTATATTACTTCAACTAAGGAAGAGCTTTCTGAAATCAAAGCAAACAAGACAGTTGATCTGAGGTGTTAGGAACAAATGTACAACAGGTGATGGCTTTAGCACTCAGTCACCACCTACAGCAGTCTGCTCTGATGTCATCCATGCAAGCAAACTGCTCTCATCTGACTCCATTTCACTCTAAGGCTAACTAAATGCTGAGGAAGACAATTATCATCTCTCCTTTAACTTCTACTAGACCATAAAATGCTTCTATATGCTAACCCATCCTAACAAAGCAGTTTCATACTGATTATTCACCTTTGTCCCTGCAGACTGCAGATTTGGACTGTATGCTACTTTATAGTAAGGATACATTTAGATGGAAGATGGCAAAAAAAAAAGGTATTGGCAGAGCAATGAAAGTGGTTTTATTTTTCCCAATGCTGCACAAAAACAAGCTGAGAATTATCTTGCTTATAATATAAATCACAGCTTTCAAACAGACAAAACAATGATAACAGGTTCCCTGGAGAATAAAAAAAAGTGTTTAGGCAAATAGTTGAAGTTTTCACTGCCCCTTAGCAGTCAGTCTGCAATGGAAAACAATTGGCCTGTTTATTCTAGGAGCCAAATTATGGAGCTACTTCAACATCCCAGGTTGGCTGAGCCAATACTTCCCAATGTGAGATATGGAAGCTGCTTGCAGAAACTTTAATTGTATTTGGAGCTCTTGACTATTTATAGGCTCATTCTGTTTAGGACTCCTGGTGTGTTTGCCAGGACTTCTATACAGTTTGTGTGTTGTGCTGAGTAGACTTTAATGAGTACTGGATCGTATCAGAGGCAGCAATCCAACCCCCCCCCCCCCCACCCCCCCTATCATCCCAGACTCTGAATGCATGTTTCTTTCAGTTTGAAGCACTGCCTAATTCTGGAGATAAATCAGTCAGGGAGTTGTTATTCCAACAAAAAATATAATAAACGGCTTGATGATGAAAAAACATGATCATTTCAAAAGCAAACTCTGACTTTAGCCGTAAAAAAAAAATCATAAATGAATTTGATTTTAGAGAGTTTAAATCATTAGAAATGATTCATTGTTTCTGTTACTGTCCACCATACGGGCCTGTAGCTGCAGTTTCCTGTTCTAATTGACAGAATTTGCACACACTTTTGGTCTAATGCTGTATAACCCTTCTTTTCAAGGTTCAAGGTGTCATGCCCCAGAGATTGATTTCTGCACACCCATAGTTCCTTTTTTGAGCACCCTTCTATGATCTTGGAAGAGTCTCAGTGCTCTTCTCTGATCCTTGACATCAACAAGGGGTTGTTCAGGCAAGGCAATACAAGTTTATTTATATACCACATTTAATAAGCAAGACGAAGTACACTGCAATAATATAAAGGCAGCTCAAATAACTAAAGGAGATACAACTGAATAATTAAAATAAAATAAAATATTATATTAAAAAAAAACATAAAACACATAAAAGTTAAAGAGATTACGCTCTGTCCCATTTCTATCACTTGCACTCATTTTGGGTCCTAGCACACGGTTTTTCGCATTTACGTGTAAGGGTAAGTGTGTCCCAATACTTTTAAGAGCTAGGGGGAAGTGCCCTTCAACCCTTAAAATGCTACCTTTAAACCAAGGGTGGTCAAGAACTGACTAGGAACGAAGTCGTCAGGCTGTGGTAAAGAACTGCACAAATGTACCGGTAAGTATATTTTTGCAATTAACAGCATGTTTCAAAAAAATGTGTTGGGATATCTCAGTTAGATGTAAATACAATTGAATTCCGTACCCTTGTGTTAAAACGTGAATATAGCAAAATCACTATTTTTTGTAGAACACAAATCTACCCAGAGAGATGTTTTTTAAATACACGTAAAGCATTATGATTATGCATGAAAGCTTTTAACAAAATCACTTTATCACCATTTCTGTTTTGATATGTGCAATTGCCAAGGTGACTATTACAGCATAGATGGTATAACGTTACGCATAATTGTCATTGCGATAGATTGCTGCACAGTGAATGCACACAGTAACTGTCATAAGGCATGATATTTCAGGTTTATGAGTAATATCTCTGTAGTTCCTGGGCCAATCCATAAGAAAAAAAAACTGTTGCCCAATGTCTTCTATGTCAGCAGAATAATTTATCTTCTCATAAAGGTGTCAAAAATTGGACCACAGACTGCAATCTTAAATAATTAGGTGAAGACGGCAGAGTCAAAGTCCACTAGGAGTGTGGGAAAAAATTGTTTTGGCAATAAGTATCAATTTTTTTTTAAGTAAAACATTGCCCAGGGAAAATGGGGCCCTTTAGCTGTACGGCGCAGCACATTATCTGTAGTTGAGGCAGTCAGCGGGGAAGACATGAACTGACTCAAACCCCAAGCAGCATGGATACCAAAATAACTCAACGATCAATATCATCTGATGACCATATACAGAGGTTGCTTTTTTATCTATATATTTCATTTTGATAGCAAGAAAAATTTAGGGATATATGGTGATATTGCAATATTGTGATAATATTGTATCATGACCCACGTATAGTGACACACATCATATCACAACACCCATGACAATACTCACCCCTAACTTCCACTGTATATAAAAAACATTTTTTAAATTGATTTGAAGCAATTTAGGGTTTGAGCGCTTTTACAGTTTTCTATGGGTTTATACCAGATTAGTGGAGCATAATAACTAAAAGTAACATAATTCAGATCAGACACATTGATCACTGAACCTCAAATTGCAACATTATTGTGCAATAAACACTTTATACCAGGCATCCCCAAACTCGGTCCTCATGGTGCCCTGTCCTGCAGGTTTTAGAGGTTTCCTTGCTCCAGCACAGCTGATTTTAATTGAAAGCTGATTAACAGGCTTTTGGTCTACTGCAATCATTATAACCAGCTGTGCTGAAGCAGAGAAATCTCTAAAACCTGCAGGACAGGGGGCCTTGAGGACCGAGTTTGGGGATGCCTGCTTTAAACGAAGTTAAGAGTCAGATGAACAGCTATTGTTACTGCCCAGGTGGCTTCCACGGTGAATCTTACAAATGTTTGAAGCCAGTTTTCTCCTTAAAGTACTGTGGAAAGGTAAATATTTAATCAGTTATGTCTTCAATTATTTGACATCATTGGAAATCTTCGACTCCACTCTTTTAGGATCTGTATACATCTCCAAACAAGTGTAGACTTGTTCCAGGTTCGGCAACAGCCCCTTACATTTGTGTTGCCAATTAACCTCTGGCTGCAAATCGCAATATAACATCTCAAGAGTAGAAAACCTGTTGATAGATCAATAGATTTCTCTATAGCCCTTAAAATGAGTTTAAAAAAATCTATTGTATGAAATATTTGAAGGAGGGGTGGTAAGGGCCAAAACTACTTCCAGTGTTTGCAAACCCCTTTGGGAAAATAGGAAGCAAAGCAGGAGGAGCTTGAGAAAAAAAAGATTAAAGTTGTCTCAAATTCTGATCCTGAAGATGTATTTCTGCTTTAAAGAAACTGACTCAAACATTAGATCATTAGCTCTGTAGATAATCTCTACAAGATGATCTTAAATGATTTAGTGACATTAAATGTAGATTTCCGTTAATCATGTAAACAGAAAAGTTTAATCAATTAAATGTTTGTTAATAAAAGACTGAGGTGTCATGAAGGTGGTAGCATCTCCAAACTAACAGCCAGTAGATATGTTGTTTTAAAGAGGAAAGTATTTGCGCAACCCAGTTTTCTGTAGTACTCCTAAAGGTGAATAAAGAGGTTAAACTTGGGTGAGTGCATATGTGCGTGACCCTATTAGGGTATCATACTAGCATAGACATCAGCCC